CCCCTCCGGTGGTGTTTTGGTCTTTTGCCCTTTACGGTTTCTAATGAAGATGAAGTAAGGCGGCCGCTGCTGTTGCTGCTCGTCGTGGACCCTGCAGAAATATTCAATTTATCTTGGCTTATAGGAAATTAGGACCGCTTTAGAAGGACATCATCACTAGCTCTGCGGCCCTAGGGACCCATCTGCACACTGCCAGGATCTCTCTGTCCCTGACTGCTGGATTGTTTGGTTGTTTTTTTGTTGGGTTTTTTTTGGGGGGGGGGCGGGTGGTGGTGGTTGGTTTTTTTGTTGTGGTTTGGTTTTGGTTTTTCCCCTTTTGAGGAGGGAGGGCAAGGTGCCAGTGGATATATATGACAGAAGCAGGATCTTTTGGACACTCTTCACTTAGAATTGATAGTTGTAGTTAGGCTTATAATCTGTGTGTCTGCTGAATCATCTCACGTCAAGGGAGAGACTTTTAAGTCCCCTTTCACTCCTTCCTCTGTCCCCTCTGCTCATTTTTCTCAGCAAAACAGCAGGGAGGTTAGCAACCCTCGTCTGAATGTAGAAGAGCCTGGCAGCCAGGGACCCGGGTGTCGTGCGTCTTTCCTCTCACTCCGTGTGACAGTTGCAAACACTCATGGCTGACCAGATTCAAGGAGTATCTTGTATTTCTCTGTCTGTGTTCGTGGCAGTGAAATGTTTTCCTAACAGTGTCACCCTCTCGGTTGATTTTTTTTTTTTTTTTTTAAAATCCCTTCTCTTATTTGTTCATGTGCTTGTTTGTCTTTTAAGTTTGACCATGTTCGAAGTATCTAACTTCGGGCCCTTTAAAACACACTTTTACTGCAGTATTGAGCATCCCTTGAACTATGCAAAATCCCTAAAATTGCAGATATCGTGAGGAAAGGCAATGGAAAGAACTGCCCAGATGTCAGAAAGGGGGATAGAGAGGGAAGGAGGGAGGAAAAAAAACCAAGAAACTAGCCAGACATCAAATGACAGATTTAAGTATTTTCCTGTTGTAAATGCTGGCATTACATGTTACAGTAATTACATGCTCTGGGCTACTGTTGCAGTGTTTGTTTGCTGGATAGTAACCTGAACTTACAAAGTGAATACAGTTGGTTTTGGATAATAATAATATTTATAGCTAAGGTTATTCACAGCAGATGTCCTATGCATATAGGCTTTATTAAATGTGCTTGTAACCTTGTGGCCTGCAGTGTTAAAGCCTATGTACATTGTGAAGAGGATTTTTCTCTTTAAAATTAAATGTATTAAGATCAGAACTAAAATCTAGAGTAAATAAAAGCCATCAGAAGTGTTACAAAAAAAAGATGAGATTGTATTTTAGCTGTATGTAGCAGCGAAGAAAACGGGTACCTACTATCAAAATTGCATTACAGTTATTAAATGCATATTTTGACTTGTCAGAATGCAATGCTTTTTTGTTTTATTACCTCTAAATCTTCTGTTGCTTTTATCTTAAAATCTGTCAACCAGGATGTAAATATCTTAAACATTAACCTGTGTAAATATATGAATTATGTTAAATATAGTATTGTAGCTGTACTGTAGGAAAGATCATTCTCTAAGAATGAACAATTTTTGTTTTTTAATTTTAGGATGCAAACTACACATTATTTCAGTTACTTCGATGAGCAGGCTAGGTGTTACATTTTTATATAAATTTATATATGAAAATATATTTATAAAATATTCTTTTCCATAATAAAATCCAAAATGTAGCTTAAGCTGATTAAGGGAAACGTAGTCCCATATCCATCACTTGCTATTACTTGCTATTTCTTTTAGCATCTGAACATTTTGAAGGGATGCCATACTTCCAGATTTCCTTTTCAGTATAGCTTCCTAAATTAGACAAAAAAGACCCAATTCCTCCTGAAGTTAGTTGGATTGTGTCAATAATGCCTGAAAAGCTTAGTTCTTCCACTCCACAGTGTGCACTATTTGATAGAATCAAATTGCAGAACAGGAGTAAATTTATTTTCTTACATGCAGCTATAACTAGAACACTTATGGCCTTTTTAAAATTGTCCTTTTCAACATTAACCCTGTTGGCATGGATGTTACTTTACTTTTCCGTTGCTATCTCTTTCCATAAATATGTGCAGGGAGATGAACTTTTTTTAATCCACTGAATGAGCATGGTTGAATCTGAGCCTGCAATCTCATTATTCTCCCTTGAGAGAGTATTAAAACATATAATAGTCAAGGTGAATAGTTTTGTTCTTAATTGTGATGGTGTCTGTACATAGGTAAGAGGAAAAGCAAGTCGAAGTTCGCAGCATTTTAAAACTCTTTGTGTATGAAAGAGCAAATTCTTGATTCAGACAGATTTGATCAGAAAACCACCCAGATATATGGGGATTGCGTGGGTGTAAGCAAGTAACATTTGGGCCTGTGCACTTTGAAGGCGGTTCTTTTATTAAAATACCTAGAGGACGATATATAAAATGCGTATATAAATTACAGGTTTGGAGTTAAAGGAAAGACCGTTTGGGGTTTTTTTTTGGTAAAATTTTCTAACAGTCATTGCCACCACATAGGCTAATTCAGTAAGAGTTTTTCATGGACATCTGCCCTTCATTAGAACAGTTTGAGAAGTCATGACAGCTGTAACAGTGGGCTTGTAATTCCTCATCTGTCGGCATATTGTTATACTATTTAAAATGAAGAAAGAAATGAAAATAGCTAACTAGTATCAGAAGCATGCAAATAAAGCATTAACTTGACTTCTGAAATGTACTGAAATTTCTTGTCGCTCGTGTTCTCTGACAGCTTTGTTGCCTCACGTTGCCTGAACAGAATTTGTCAGGAAGAAACTTCCTTATATCCTCTACCAGCATGCTTACTGCTCTAGAAGCGTACTGTTTTAGTAAATACAAACAGTCCTGTGTTAGTGCCTTTTGGTTCTGTTAATGTTTCCATCGAGCATGCCAAGATGTGGAGTTTGTAATGTGGAAACCCACATTATAGACTTGGAATGAGCCTACAGATTCATTTCATATGGGATAACACAGAGTCTTAAGATAGTGACAACTCTCAGTTTTTAACAAACTATTCTAGATTTCAACCGGTGGCATAGTGATGAGATAGCTAACTCATGATATTGCCGAGTGGTTGAAAAATATAATTCACAGTGAATGGTATTACACTTACAGAATTATGGTTCCAGCTGAACTACAATAATTTACGCTTTTCATATGTATAAGGGTTTATTATTTATTTGGCATGGGGTTTAAAATTACCAACTCCTGAATTACTGTTAAGATGCTTATGGCAAAACTCTTCATTACTAAGATTACTGAAGTACTGTAACACAAGTATTATGTATTAAGACAAAGACATAAATCTCATGTGTTGTTTCCTTAAGGCATGTAAGAAATACTATTGGACAGTTTCTTCTGAAAAAGCTAACTTTTGCTGTTTGGGTTTTGTTCAGTGCAGCATCTGCCATGTCTACAGAGGGGCAGAGAGTTGATGATAGTCCAAGCACTAGTGGAGGCAGCTCTGATGGAGATCAGCGTGAAGGTGTTCAGCAGGAACAAGAAAGGGAGCAAGTTCAACCCAAGAAAAAAGAGGGCAAAATATCAAGCAAAACAGCTGCTAAACTGTCAACTAGTGCTAAAAGGTACAGTGTTCTTTCTGGCTGCTTATCTTCCTTCCTCTTTTTTCAGCTGACTATCAGATGTATGTATTGACTCAGTATATTAATTTTCTTATTGTTTTATTATAACACTACTATGTCAGTGTAATAGCCTTTTGAGACTGGTCACAATAATGAGACTTGTATACTTTTTTCCTTTCTTTGACAGATTGGCTCTTTCACATGGTTTTAATAGTAGCTTGCATGATAAAAGCTGACATTTTTTTATTGCTAGTAAAACTCAGACAGTTTTGTAGCCTTATAAAATATATCTCTGTATGTGTATGTATGACTGATGTTGAAACTTGTCAGTGTAACTTATAGTTAATTACCCATAAACATTTCAGACAGTTCAGTAACTCAGCATGTTAGGACTACCATAATACCTATTGCTGTAAAGTACTGCGTTTCCTTTTCCCAGATGGTCAGGTCAGAAATATTTAAGTGAACAACAAATGCACGTTGGTTTCATTACTTTAAACTGTGGTCTGTTTTAATACCCATTTCTTTTCCTTCTCTTTTCTGCTTGAGAGGAAAGGTGGGTTTGTAGAATAGCTATTTAAATTATTCTATGCTATCATGTCAATCTCCAGCTAACGATTCTCTTGCTTGGACCAGACAGAAGGAATTTACAGTTTAGTGTGGCTCCATTAGTACATGTAGGGGTGCTAGTCTAGGCAACAGAATTCAAATGGGATTATAGTGACTGAAGTTAAAAAACACTTTTAAAATAATCTGACAAGAGACCAGTTCTGCAGACTGTCCTGATGCAGAATTCCCAGATCCTGTTTCTTTGCTAGTTCAAGGCCATGTAAACTACAAGAAAAACCATTGGAGTTGTGCCACTATGGTGCTGCGGTAAAGGAGAAGAATCAAGGCCCAATTGCCATAATTTATAACATATGCATGTAGTAGGAGTCCATAAATACCGGTATATAAATGTGTGTATACATCCCTTCAGGATTCAAGTCTTTGTCTTGGCTTAATCTCTTCCTTACCATTCACATACTTTTCTGAACTGAAGTCTCTTCTGTCTTTCCACTGAAGTATTGTCATGCTTTTCTTCTGCCATAGACACCTTCCTTACAGCTAGCCTTTCTTCTTGTTTTTCCTTCCCTGGTGAAATGCTTTCTGGAGACCCATTCCTACTGTGACACTGTTAGGAGATAACCTAGTCATATCACTTACAGGATGGCCAGCAAAGCTTGCCCATGTTTCCTTTTATGACTAAAAGGGAAAAAACAAAACAAAACAACTTTCACTTCAAACCATGATGTTATTCATGTAGTTAATTCTCATAGCTGTTATGGTTTCTGGCCTTCTTCTCTTTCGTCTGCTTCCTGCTATTGTTATTTTTTAAATATTAGGAATATTGGACTAGTCATGACTTTTAAGGTCATAAAAAACAGGTTTTAACATCTTTAGAAAAGAGTCTTATGTGTTCTGAACTTTGTACAATGCCTAATGTAATGATGCCACAATTCTGACAAGAGCCTGTGGACAGTTTCCTATTAAAAAATTAATAATGATATGTCAGAAATTGGTCTATTAATCTTAGCTTTGTATCTTCAAAGCTTAGAGCTTTTATCAACATGCATTTCACAGTGATAAAATTACTTAAACCTTTTAAAGTTTAATTATATCTGCTTATGGTTCTGCTGAACCTAATTATGCCAGTTGCTGACATCAGTACGTTTGCCAGTTAGACTCTAAAGCCCGTTTCACATGTGTACTAATATTGAAGGAAAGTCTTTGATTATGCATTTTAAAAGCTGTGATGATTTATAAGAGTTCTGTAGGTATGTGCACAATAAATAATTTTTTTTTAAAAATTGTATTTTAGGAGTGGTAGTTGTCATAGCACTTTGTGGAAGGATCACAGCAACACAGATTTTATACTAACAGGGTTTTTTAATAGTATCATAGTAATTTTTCTTTCTTTTTTTTTATTTAGTATTCAGTAGTTTGTCACTGTGTTAGAATTGGGATTACATTTCTATAAACTTTCTTAATCCGACCAGGTTTTCATATCACAGGTTTTGTTTCTTTGCTTTTTAATTAAAATCAGTAATGCCTCAAGAAAGGAAAACCAGAAATTAAAGTAGAGGATAAAACGGAGAGGAGTAACATGAAGGAAACAAAATGGCATAGAGTCCTCAATATGTGATAAGTATTACAGAAACTGTCTACATAAAATATCTTCATAGTAATATTATTATTTTTGTTCATTAGAAATGAAAAATGGTGCAGGAATAAGGCTATACTCCTTCAATGGGAGTGTTGTTATTGACCAGCTTAAAATAGTGATCTTTTAAAAATTGAAATAAATTGAAGTAATTCAGCTGTCCTAGTGAAAAAAGACTGAATATATGTTTAGCAACTTTTTCCTTTTCTAGTTTTTTAATTCTGTGGGTTTGTATGGCATTACTCTAAAGTCACAATAATCTTAAGTGTTTTACTATGCAATTCCCTCTAATAACTCCATTATAGTTAAAGGAGTCAGCTCTGCTAAAATCAGTAAAAACCCCAAACAACAGAGTGTACTGAAGTTGTGGCTTTGGTCAATATTCCTTAATTCCTGTTTAAAGCAGAGAATACCAGCAAGTTAACATAGCATTGGAGCTAAGGTTACAGACTGCAGACTTGATTCTAACCTGAGTCTGGCAGTCATGTTTTCTCACTTGGAAAGCTTTTTCATGCATATGGAATTGTAGTCACAGTATTTTTGGATTACATTATGATACCTACTGTATATCTTGGATTAGAATGAAGGTTTGTGCATCTGTATTTGGAATACTTCTGTTTTGCTTTTTATTTGTATGTTTATGTAGTCAGATTTAAAGAATTTTCAGTAGCATTAGGTTTTTATATAAATCACGATTTAGCAGTATGCTGACTTTTGCTTGTGTAAAAGTAAACTGCTAGCATGTCTTATGTATGAGTATACTACTCCCACAGCTTACTGCTTTCCAAAATGATCTGATTACGGAGGCTATATGAAACCACTTGAATTCATTTTTGAGTAAGATTTTTGTTTTTAAGATATGGAGTTTCTTCTCTTAGCATTGCTGTAGATGGCATCAAGAAGGCAGAATGCCATCACACGCCGTCCTTCTCTGTTAATACTTTTAGGGCTAGCTGCTATACAGGTGTAATAGCTTACAGTATATGTCATACAGTGTAACGGTCCTTCAATTTTCCTCACCCAGAGGGCATCACCTTAAATAGCAACCTTTCTTACCTAACATGTCAAGATTGAGAAACTCGCTGCACATCACAATTACAGTTCAGACATGGAATTGAATTGCTGTCCTTGAAAACAGCAGGCATCTTGTTACCTCTTAAGTAGCAAATCTTAGCATGACCTTTGGATTGAGAGAAGTGTAACCATTCTTGGCTGACATAGTAGCTCAACAAAAAAATGTATTGTTTTGCTTGGCTTCTGAAGTTGATAGTTGAAAATCTGTCAACCTTTGTGTCCAGTCCTGGAATTTTTTTATAAATATCTGTGCCTACAATGAATTGTGAACTTTAAAACTTTAGTTGTAATCTTTTCTTTATTGAAAGAAGTTACAAACTTAAGGAGTAGCAAATGGGTAATGGATTAAATTTGTTTGAAATTCAACAAAATAAAAATGAGCTTTTTTCCCCTCTTTTTTTTCTCAGAGAAGTTTATCACAGCACTATTTTCAAGGAATCTGGGAATGATATTTAGCATGTTGAATATGATGGCAAAATATGGAGTGCTTTTTCTTATAAGAAATATCCTTGTCATTTATTGTGTATCTAGTATGGAGGCAAGGATATTTCTTTTCCTCCAGCATGAATCTAACCATCTTTAGATCAATTTCCTGCTCAGTCACAGTTTATGTAAGATTGAAATACATACCAGTGATTGCATTTCTTAGTATTTTCTAAATAGCGTATTCTTCAGTATGGAGTATACTCATCTGGCTTTTATGAATAAAGAGGCATATATTTTAGAAAAGTAGACATGGTAAAAATAGCTCATTGTCATGTAGTCCTTTATTTTAATTCTTTTCCTATTAATCTTCCTGGGAAATCCTCTGACATGTTCATTTCTTTCTTAGCTTTAGAGAACTTCAACTGTTTCATGAAGGAAACAACACACAGTCCCCCTAGGCTTGGAACAGTAGTAAATATGTGTCTCTGAGAATTAATAATATTTGAAATCCACAATGTACTTTCATGCTTCTGAATTTAGGGGTAGATTAACCTTTGCACTATTACTGGAAGGCAACTATGTTTGTTCTTTTCTGTTAGTAAAGTGTAGGGGAAAAATATTTTTTTATGTGTGTGTGTGTGTATATATATATGAGAGAGTGAGGGGTCAAATGATTTCTTTGAGACCAAACAAAGAGTATCAGATCAGACGCTGCAAATTAAATATCCTACGTGTACAGCCCAAGGCTTTGATTACTAGCAGGGGCTTCTCCCCATGCCATCACTCCACTCCCCAATATATAGTAAACCAGTATGTCATTAATTTAAATATAAACTGGATATATACAATGACTTTAATTTAGTCCTTTTACTCTCTGACATAGCTAAACATAACTGTACTGAGGCAGAAAATCCAAAGACAAGAGATGCCAGAAAGGACCTGCAAAAAATGTTTTGTTGCCAGAGGCCACATATTCTCGCGGTGAACTCTCTGTGGTCAGTGAAGGAAATGAGGCACATCCTTTCCCATGCCAGATTCTCAGGGCAACTCAATGGAGATATGAAACAAGTGCCAGAGCAGTGGAATAACTCGTGCAGACAAAGGCCAGCTTGCACACTGGAGGTATCTATCAGTGCAAGGCTCTCTGGGATGTTGTCTGATGATTTAATTGTAACTTTGAATACTGTGACACGTGAACAAGCTCTTGCGTGTCAGCTGCTCTACAGAAACTGTTTATGAATGTGCTCTCAGCATGAATGCAAGGTAAATTAAGGTTGTAACAAAAGAGGTGTAAGGTGTATATATTAATTTTAGTTTGGGATGCCACAGAGTAGGAAAATAAATATGGACAGCTTGCTGAGGAGCAATTGATGGACAGTATCGTATTCATATGTTGTATTTTGTTTGTGTAAAAATAATCACGAATGAAACATCTCTTTTATCTTAGATGCTTGCAAAAGCAATTAGGACTTTTGAACATAAATAGAAAGTACTATCTGATCAATTATCGCTTGAGGCAGAAAGGTGTTTTGTTCTTGTTTGCGCAGTCACAGGAAGAGCTTGATAAAGGACAATTTTAGTGCTCTTGGCATTAGAAGTTAGACATTTTGAGTTGAACTAGAACAGAGGGAGAAAAGGAGAGAGCTCTGTATCCTTTTGTTTTCAGAATGAAAGGGACATGGGTTAGGATTTAGGAGGAAGAACGGAAGGTTTTTGATCTAGGACTTAAGCTACACTTGTCAATCCATTCTTGATATGTCTTGGACTCATTGTCATGCAGTGAAATATTAACTGCTCTCACTGCTATATGTAAAGCAAAGGAATAATCCCTGACTCTGTAGCAATGCCATCATTCTGTAACTTCCCAAAAGGCAGAAAAAGCAAAAACAACCCATAAAACATGAAATTGAAGGAGATTCCATGCTACCTAGGTTTTCCGTGATTTGAATTTGTGATAGTATAAATTTTTAAAACACAGTAGAAATCTGACATATACAGAAGAAATATTTTAAGCATTTCCTACACTTGTATCATCTCCCTTCTAAAAGGTGTGAACTGTTGGAATTGTTAGAATTGAGTAACTTTTTAAAAGCAACATGTTTATTGTGCTTAGACTTCACTAATCAGATTTTCCCTTTTAAAAAATGCGGTCGATTTTCAGTGTTACTACAATGACTTGCTGCAAATATTGATTAAGCAGCCTGTGCCTGTATTTTTGCAAAAAAGGAATGATATTTATTGGGCAAATTCTATCTACTGGAGATGTAAATATTTCAATGAGTAAAAAAAGCAAATAAGCATCGAATTTCTCCCCCTCTACAGGGGTAATTAGTTTGTATGTATGTAGGGTTGGGGTGCATAGAGTTTAGAAGAAAAGCTAAGCATCTGAAAGAGTGTTTTTATCTTTTCAGCTATATCGGCTGGTCTAATACATGATTATTGCCTCTACCTACAAATCTTCCCCACATACGTCCTAATTATTTCAGAATGTGAATGATAAAGGATTGGAGTTTCTGGTTCAGGCCAGTTCTACTGCCTTTGGTTCATTTATTCATTATAGCCACAAAATCAACTCATAGTGGCATAAGGGGAATTTTGATGGTGGCTGTGAGACTCCTTAGCATGTAAGATTGTATTTGGATCTTAACGTTACATAGAGAATTAAACTGCTCATTTTTGTTATATATGCCAGTATACCTGAATGTTTATTTTGATAAACCATTTTCTTTGCCTGTATTTATGTGCAAAATGGGTGGCAGTAATTTTTAACAAGATATGGCAGTCATTTTTAACAAGATAACCCTGAACTTTTGGGTTGTGGCTTGAGCATGTTTCTCAGGCATTTGGGTGGTATTATCATGGCAGGTTTTCTTTTTTAGTGTAGGGAATAACAGGAATAGCAATCTGCTCCTGCACATGAAATCTTGTGAAGGAGAAAGGAAGAAGAAAATACTGAAGGTACATTGAATTGTTTGTTTTTTGTTGGTTTTTTTTTCCTTCCTCTTTCTAAATGTGCATGTTTTTGCACTGAAGTAGCCTATAAAAAAGCCTTGGGCGTAGTTTATAAGGAAGGTGGCCATCACAGTCCTGCTTATGGCATCATACTCTGGCAAGTCTTTGGGAACTGTAAACTCCTACAAGTTCCTTTGGGAACTCTGTAAACTCCTACTCTGCATGTTTAAATTTCTTCAGAGGGGATGATACTGGCTCTCAATCAGACGCTGGTGTAACGGAAAAGAGCCCATATTGCCAGATGTGGCAGAGATCAGGAATTCAAGGACTTGGCATAGAAGCGGCGGCCTGGGAATATCCAGAAATCCTTAACAACGAAGTTGCTCTGCCTGGAGGAGGACCTCCAGCAGGATTCCTGTAACGAGAGCAGTACTGCCAGGATCTGGAGTGGACCTGCCCAGCTTCACCTCTTTATCAGTGACCTGGAGGACATGGCAGAGCGCACTCTCAAGTTGGCGGATGACAGCAAGTTGGGGGGAGCAGCTGGTACATCCAGGGGCAGGGCTACTGCTCAGAGGGACCTCAGCAAGCTGCAAGAGAGCGTTGACAGGGAACTAGTGAAATTCAAGGAGGACAAATGTAACATCATGCATGGGGAAGGGCTAATCCGTTGTAATGATGCAGGCTGGGGAGAAGCTCTGCTGAGAAGGACGTGGGGGCCCTGGCAGACAGCAAGCTCAACACGGGGCAGCGACAAAGGCTAACTGCCTCCTGGGGTGTATTAACAGGAGCATAGTCAGTATATGTAGAAGAAAGTGATTTATCTCCCTTTACTCAGCTCTCATTAGACTGCATCTGGAATAACACGTACCCGGTTTTGGGCCCCCCAGTACAAAGGAGGCATGCATTGGAGCAAGTCCAGCGGCAGGTCCCCAGCCTGGCCAGGGAGCTGGAGCACTTCACTTTGAGGATAGGCTTTGGGGCACCTGATAGCAGCCCCCCCGTACCTAGAGGAGGAGGTTATGGAGAAGACCAGCATGAGCTCTTTCCAGCAGGGTGAGAGACAACTATCCTATGAAGTTGGGTTTTTTTCGCCTGCTAGTACGAGATACATTAAGAAGCTAAATGTTCTGGAGAACAAAAGCTATGAGACATATAGGCAGAGGGGAAATAGAGAAGGAGGGTATACGAGACATTTAATTTTTCTGTAAGTGAGCAAAAGAGCTGAGAACCTCGACGATTAGAAGTTGGATTTTCTAGGTGGCTGCTCATGGCATAACTTGTCCCAGATTGGAGGCTCATTTTTCAGAAAAGATTGAAAAGATTGGATTTTTAGTTCCACATTTTTTTGAGCAGTTTTATGAAACCTTATAGCATCAGCTTTCCATCAGAAATTATAAGAATTATATTTTTTTATTATTGATTGCTGTAGAAATGTTCGTAAAGTTGAAAGATATTGGAAAAAAGTCCTGATAATATTTTTTTTTTTCCCCTCTTCAGAATTCAGAAAGAACTTGCAGAAATTACATTAGACCCTCCTCCAAACTGTAGGTAAGTTCACCTGGATTTTATTAATTTGGAATATGGAAATGGAATGTATGGAATTATGGAAATTGCATAGGGGACTGGAGTAAATTTTAGCTATTCCTTTGTGTGATCACTTCGTAATTTTGGAATAAAAGCCGATAGATAACATGTTTGCCTACATACAAGTAATCAATATGACATACTTCCTGGTAACAAAAGTCATGGTAAAAACTGATGAACCCTGTGATGTGTTAACAGATACAGGGTAAAAATCAAATCACCCTTAACTTGAGTTATTAAATCAATAGCATTTTGTTTGATTCTGTAAAATGTAATCTTGGTGGCAGTTGCTGGTATGTTTGATTCCTTTTTTCTTGCAAATTGTTAACACACTGTGAATATAATGGAGAAGGAAAAATGTTATAGGCACAAACTATTATTCATCTTCCGACTGTGTTTCTGGTGATCAATTACGATATTCAGGGGAAACTTCCTGCAATAGAGTGTATCATCGCATAGGCTTTCTAATAATGACTTTGCGCTTGTTTGGTTTGGGTTTTTTGTCAGGTACATTTACTTTCGGTGTGTTTAAAATTGGCTTTGAAATGAGTAATGAGGTAGGCCTAGAAACCCTCGCTGCCTGGTGGCCGGGGCGGTATACAGTTGTTTTCAGTTGGCTGTCTCGGGCTTCTTATCTGTCAGCTTGACATATGGTCAGTGTTGGAGCTGGGCCAGGGCTGCGCAGTGCTGCTTAAAGGAGCCTCTGCCACTGCACCTCTCGCAGTGAGAGGTCAGGCTCGGTGCAGAAGAATAGCTTCCATCCAGTCCTGCTAACCCATTTCAACTGATGTGGTTAGTAGGATTCATTCTATTAGTGCAGTAAAAAGAAAGATTGATAGAAATGGCTGATTGCATGCAGCTTTTATAATGAATCCCAGTACATTTCAGTATCGAATTAACTAAGCAACTGGTAGTAAAAATGACAGTCAGCTTTATTGTTTTGGTCTCTTGACAAAAGTATGTGTGAGACAATATTCTAACAAGATTTGATGTGGTTGTGCTGGATCTCAAGATGTAAGTCAAGTGGCTATGTACTAAAGCGCTGCGTAGTGAAGTAGCCTTGCAATAATAGTGTTCAAAGAGTATTTCAGTCAATTAGGATGAACAATTCTTTGCTAGATAAAACATTTTAATAGCTAAGCTGTTCTGTCATACTTATGACTGTGTGCGAGTCTTCAATCACATCAAAGCTGTTTCGTATGGCAGATTTTACTTAGGTGTTGATGACTGATGCCTATTAGTGGATTGATTTGCTGAGATGAATATAAAACTTCAGTCTGTTGTAGAAGAATGCTTGAGTCTTTGAACTGAGTCTAAAAGGCTTATAGTTTTTACAGCAGTGTCATTTGTTCTAGTTTTCTGAATCCTTTGTAACAAAGCAGTTGTTTTAGTATACAAGATACTGTTAATTTGATTTTCTTTTGCTAGCAAGTGTAAAGTGAGCATTGGCTGTCTTAGTGGAAGGCCCTTTGTTGACTTGCAATTTAAAAAAAAGAGCTGGAGATTTCCTGCTTTTTTTAATTATTTACACTAATGATAAAATAGCAATAAAGTGCACTGCATGATGCTGTTTTGCAAAATCAAAAAATTACATTAACTTCGTGTGTCTGCTGCTTTAACACAGTTCTTAAGATGCAGAATTATTTCATGTTGTGATCTTGATAGATAACCATTAGTAACTTTACTATTAGCAAATATGTTTTTATAGTCAATACGGAATCACTTCATTTAGTTTTATGCTCTGTTGACATAGTCTAAACAGTGTTTTCATTTGAACTTCATCTATTTTCTATTATAGTTAAACATTACAAAATAAATACATCAGCCAGACATGATTCTTCAGCATAATGAAGAAAGCCAAGCTATACTACAGCATATCTTACCCTAAAGTATTGATATGTCCTTTCTTGGTTTTAGTGAAATTTAGACCATTGTTATAAGAGGTCTTAGATTTTCTATTAAAAAGGCATATTTCATAAAGATAAGTTCCTTACAGATGTAGGCCACTTGAAGTGGTTGTGATTCCAGCTTACCTTCACTATGTGTGCTCTTTTATATAAAAAAATAAATCATGTATGGGCAGTAGGAATGTAATAAATCTCAAAACTAAACGTCACAGAAGATGTGAAGGAAAGCTGTATTATTCAAGAATACTCTCTAAGTAGTTATTTAGGAAGTTCTGATAGGTAGGATATTGAGCTGAATTGGAACTTGGGTGGAATATTGCAAGATGTGTTGCAAGACTGTTAACTACAGCAGGCCAAAGCTTCAGGTTTGTCTCATTCAGGGAAAAAACCCAAATGGAACTGTATCTGTAGTACAGTAGCATCCCTTAATGGCATGCTAGGCTACACAGTCAGTACAAGCTCCAAGGGAGTTGCAGCTTCTACTTCTGCAGCAGCTGCAATCTTAACGCTTCCCCCGCCTCATCCCCACTAAGAGAATAGGCTGTATAATCTTCTTATTTGTCTGGAAGACAAAAAAAGTCTTGCTCACACATGTGCCTTGTAATTGGCAGATTATCACTGCTGCGACTTGCAGCATCTTTCCAAAAGTGTAGAAAGCTGTGGATTTCAGAGTTCCTAAAAAAATCTGTCATGTTTGGCTTTAGAAGAAGATTTAATGTTATAAGAAATCAGAGTTGCCTGCCTCCCTAGGTATTCATATTCTGTAGTTTGGGTTCTGGGCAATGGAAAGAGTCCTTTTGACTCCACAAACTTGGGATCATTTCTCAGGACTGAGATGTATAATGTTCTAAGTGTCAAAAAGTCAATCTGGGGCGCATGTGGGAGTTGAGCAGTGTAATCATTGCTATTTTTGGAGGAAAGCATGTCATAAAAAAGCCTGTTATACTTCACATTTAACAGAAAGAACTGCATAGGTTTTGGTGTGTGCTGTGTCATCTCTCCCCCCTTTACTTTTGTATAGAGCTGAATTTACTGTCAAAGAGAGTCCTGAATGCTAAGCAGGTACATTTGTATTTTAAGCCTGCAGCGTTGTGAAATTTTAGTTTGTCAGGAGACAGTATACTTAAATTGTAGACATTTGCCACTCTTCTCTTTTTTCCCTCCTCATTGAAATACCAAAGTTCGATTGCTAGAAATATTGCACATACTACAGCTTTGAGTGGTGCAGAGTTTACCTTTTCTCACGGGTGATAAAACCCTCATCTTTAAGTATCATTTTCATATATTGCCTTGCTGGAAGAGGGTAATAGTTGGGAATTCTTGTAGCTAAAATGATGCCTTTTCAAATTTTCCCATATTTTGAACTGCGTCTTGTCCAAGACAATAGATTTCTTAGAGTACAACTTCTATTGTAGTGTTGTATACTATTTCCCTTCTCACTGGCAAGAGAACAACATCTCTGTGACAACTTATACCAATTGCTTACATGGGAAAAAAATATTTGGAAAGTATTTAATGTATTTTTAGCTTCTTTCAATGTGAACTTAGTAGCTGGAAACAAGGAGAGCCAGCACAAAGCGAATAGCAGCTCTCTGTGGACACCGCTTGGAGCAACTGCTTAAAATTTTCCTATTAAGTCACTGTTGTTACCTATCTTCTTCTTCATGTTTTCTTTTGATGTTCTGTCGCATATTTGTCACCATTCTTCTCTTTTCTGTGTATTTACTGCAATTCCTTTTATGTCTTATATATTTTGTTTCTTTTTCCTTGTAGCAATATGGGTGATGCTTGAGGCTCAGAAATATACTTTAAAGGGCTGTGCAGCTTAGTGGGCAAATTGACTGGTTCTCGTTCCAAAACAATCCATTTAAAACCCTGCATGTAGTCTTATCTCTTCTATTAGTTTGGAATCACTACATTGATTCCTTGCTTCTTACACTATCTGCAAAATTGATAAACAACCAACATACCTGATCCTAGTATTTTGCTTGTGAAAAGTAATTACACTGAAAAGACTTAAAACCAGTTCTCTTTAGGGTGATGTAGAGAAAAGCCAAGTGGAATGGCAAATTATTCAACTTGGCTTAGGGAGAGAGGTCAGCGTGCCTCATGGATGCCTCTTGCGCTATTAACGACTGTATGGAGCCCGACATTCCTGTTCAATATTGCTCTGACTCTGTTTTTGCTGAAATGGTGAGGCCAGAATCTTCACAACTCTAAGGGATTATGTGAATTCCATCAATTTAAGTTATTGTTCTCGGGGCCATTTGTTTAAACTCTTGCCTAGTGCTACTTTAAAGCTAAGAAGCTGGCACAAGTGTCAGGAGCAGAAAACAAATGTTAGCACAATTTCATGGGAAGACTGGGGGGGAGAAGACCGTCAGCCTTGCTCTAGGATGCAGAGCAATGGAAGTATAGGGACCTAGAGCAGCAGCTGCAGCAAGTATTTATCGTGCTGCCCTGGTGTACTCAAGTCGCCTTCCTTCCCTCTCACTCGAGGAACTTGTTAAGGAGTCTTCCCCTCTTCCCTGTGTGTGTGCACACACACAAGCACAGGAACGCTCACATAGCTTTCCAATGTGAGCAAGGAGATGCCATTTTTTAGATGATATGCTCACAGCATCAGTTTGACTTGGGAGTGGGGGGGTCTGAATAATTTGGCTATGTATGTTTCCTTAAAATATTTGAATAAATGTGAAAATATTTGGAAAGAGCAGAGCAATGCCTTCTCCAAATGCAAAAACAATTCCTCTTGGGAGCTGGAAGGATTCTGTTTTTAAAGCAATTTGCTCAACTTAAATTTGCTTATCTTTTGGTTAATCTCCTTTAGCTTGCACAGAGAATTTACATAATGATTTTGGTAGCATTAAGCGCTTGCTCAGTAACACTGCATCCTCTTAGGTAGTGTCCACTACCTATTTCACTGCCTTTATATGCTTGTTGAGTTCTTTTTGCCCTTGTGCAGAACACACAGGCTACTTCAGTGAGGTGCTTCCTTGACCTGAAACCAAAGAAGAAACTTCAAGGCAGCATTAGGCACGGAACAGTGTGTCTTTA